AGTTCTCTTACAAAAGTTTAAAAAAATTATGTCATTAGGGTACAGAAGCTAGTACACAGTCACACTGTTAAATAGCTGATTTCTTCTGTTCTAAAAACATAAGGCTTAAAATGTTTCCATATAAGTTCTAATTACCTTTCCTAAAGTAATATAACTCTATCCCAAGTTTTTTACTGCAATTTAAAAATGTATCAGTAAAGCTTTCTTTTGTGCAAAATCATTTTATAGCTATTATTTAGCTACATTTTCATTTGCTTCCTCTGAAAGAAATTCTATGTGAGAAAGGATTTTTGAGATAATGTGATACCCTCCCTCTGACTGGGGGCTAAGGCCCACAGAGGTTGGATTACTCACAGCTGCGGAATACAACAGCCAAACTAAAAATAACCCAGCCTGTAGTAGCTTATTACTTGAGACTAATTTTCACTATAAACTTATATTCATATACTAGGAGATACATTAGTGCAAGATAGTAGTCTGACTTAAGAGAAATGTTTGATTTAGTGCTTATAAACTGTCTCTTGTCAAGGCCTCCTAACAATCCTGCTTAGAAGATGCTACAGTGAGGATCTGGGCCTGCAGAGCCTTGGTAGCCATTTTCATAGCTTGGCCACAGGTCAGATAAAGCACAGGCAGACTACCCAGATGTCTTCATGCATATATCCACTTTCAGGAAGCACTAACACTACATGTCATTTGTTTTTTTAAGTGGTAGGAATGGGGTTTGAACTCAGGGCTTCATGCTTGCTAGGCAGGCGCTCTACCATTTAAGACACACGTTTTCGCTTTACTTATTTTTTTTTTATAGGGTCTTGCATTTTTGCTCAGGGCCAGCCTTGGATCATGTTGTATAAGCAACATGCCACCATGCCTAGTTTATTTGTTGAGATAGAGCCTTGTAAACTTTTTGCCTGGGCTGGCTTTGACCCATGATCTTCCTGATCTCTGCCTCCTAAATAGCTGGGATTTTAGGCATGAGTCACTGCACCTGGTCCTCCATGTCATTTTTTTTTTTTTTTTTTTTTTTGTGGAGGGGCTGGTAGTATGGGAGTTTGAACTCATGGCCTTGTGCTTGTTAGGCAGGTACTCTACCACTTGAGCCATGCCCCCAGCCCTTAACGTGTCATTTTTAAATTATCAAAAGGATCACAGACTCTGACAACATAAGTTCAAAAAATAAGAAAGTTAAGTCAAGAATTTTGGATTTTCTTTCTGAATGGTAGAAAGGATCCAGTGGAACCATTAAGGATACAGGTGCAGAATGGAAACACTGTTAGGAAAAGTGGAAATTCTATTTGAACTACAATTTTCCCTGTGGCCTCACAGGGAAACCTTTCAGTAGCATCAATCACTATAAGCTCCTTGAGGGCAAAAGCATTTTCTTATTTTTGTTTCTCAAGTGTCTAGGAGAGCTCCTAGCATGGAGCCAGCACTCAGCAAATTACATTACATGTGATGGTCAGAGCAGATGGGAAAGGTAGTCTCCAGAGACTAAAAGGAGTGGCTGTAACCAAGATACAATGAAACAGTAGTTTATATTGACCCTGAAATATCCTAGATACATACAGAATTCTATGGTTATTTATATAACTTCAATAAAGTAGAAATTAATAATTTAAAACTTTCTAGAACCTCCAGGGCTTTACATCTGAAAAAGAAAACAGTCTCTACATACAGACATGAGCTTGTACGAAAAGAAAATATTATTGAGATGGACCATAACTGAGTGCAATAAAAATTTACTTTATGGTCTTCATAATTCTAAGGAAAAAAAAAAGGTGGTGGAGAACTAGAGGTAAAACTCTCAAAAACATTCCCCAGCTCTGTATCTAGCAATAGGTCAAAAACTGAGGCTACAAGTTTTGAGATTTCTTATGAGAAACTCTAGTAAGAAAAATAGAGTGACTCATTTCATAATAATGTCCTTTCTTCCCAAAGTACACATCACAGTTCCCACATCCCTAGCACATGGGCACTCTATGCAGAACTATTGCAACATGAAGGATCTCCCTGCACCACTGTCCCTGAGAGGTCAGAGAAAGCCAACAGCAGACCAACAGACTTCCCCAATGTGGTGAGGGAAGGGGACAGTGGCTGGGCTCACTCTGTCCTGCAAAGGGATTTCTCCTTTTCTCCTTTGTGCTGCTTGATCTGTGACAGTGATTCTTTTGTGCAGCCACCTTTAAGAACTGGGGAGCTAAGTGCAGCTGGCTTCCTTGTCTGCAGGCTGAAAGGATCCCTTGGCAGAGCAGTTTTGAATAGAAGCTAGCTCCCAGATTTTCTAACAAATTGTCACTTAGACATTGATGATCCAAACAGGGGGCAGGGCGATGAAGGAAAAGGAATCTGTCCCTCAGGGCTACAGCACAGGAAGGCGCTCAGGCTGCTGCTGCTGCTCAGGTTCAGGTACTAGCTCATTCCCCCATCACTTTCTGTGGGTGTGTAAGACTGAGTTATGTAAACAATTACAGTAAAGTAACTGAAGTTTATTGCCAATATAGCTATGCGTAGAGCCAAGTTCCCAGGCCTTGCTCAGTCAGATGTTTCTTAAGAATTACTACTAAGAATAAGATGGATCCTGCCCTTTGGTAAACATCAATGTAAACTGATAAAAGAATTCAAGCCTTGAAGAAAGTTCAAGGAATCCTCAGGGGAGCCTGACATCACAGGCTTTGGGCATCTGAAGTAAATCAGAGAAGTAAGAATGCCTTCTCTCTCTTGGGCAGAAGGCAGTTCTGGGAGAGAAGGATTATTTATTGATACTTAAACAGCTGAGACAGGCAGGCTCTGTAGAGGTCAAATATCAATGAGGACCAAGCTCCACTTCTGGTGGAAGGACCATGTAGTTGCCTTGATGGACAATTTGCAGGAGTGGGCCCTTTACTTAACTTGGATATTTTATAGCTTCTAGTGACAAGAAGTCTGAGGAAGTGGTGGGATCCAGACTGGTGAATAGGGTAGGTACTCAGGTGAGCAAGTGAGGTAGCCTCTAGTGATGGAGCTGTGTAGTAGGCTTGATTCTTAGGTGTGTTACTGAGAAAGTGTGTATGTGAAAGGAAAGTCAGAGATGGGCAAAAAGGGCAACTGAAGACAGAGACTGACTAGAACTAAAAGAATCACTCAAAGTACTGAAAGAGCTTCATGATGTAAATGGCACTGTTCTTATAACTTAACCTGGTTAACTCTGATATTGTCATGGTTAGAAATCAGAACATTTAAAGAAAACTGAACCCCCTCATGTAATAGACTCAGATTGGTCAGCTTTTCAGATTAAAAATCTCAACATTTATGCAGTCCTCTAGATTACAGGATTTATGTAACAGCAGCTACAGAAACTTACAACTGTATAAATACTAGGGCCCCTAAGGGGGATTAACATTTCATTTGTATTGAGATGTTTTAATTCTCCCTTAATAATTTAAGATACTAAGTATTAATATTACATATCAGATATAAGATCTAATTTCTCCTGTATCCCATCTGAAAGCAATAACACTTTGTGGTACAGTTAACTGTTGTTTTCTTAAAGCATAGTCCAATTTCTTCCTTGTTCTGAAAACCAATTAAGCGACATTAAAGTTGTATGCCAATAGCATTGCCACTTTAGTATTTATTAATTTACTAAGATAATATCCTGAAATCTCGAAGGATAAACTTTTAATACTTTTTGCTAAATTTGCATCGTTTTCTTAAATTTATAGATTTAGAGTGTTTTGATTGATGGAGAAGAGGAAATATAAGGTTCACACTGGCTTTCCCAAAGGGATCCTCTGCTCAAAACAACCGAATCTAAACGTAAATATGAGTTCTCTGCTTTTTACATTTCCTGGGTCTTTATTCTCTCTTATAGCCTCTGAAACATTCTTCTTATGTATTTATTTAAGATGAGATAAGAATCTAGACAGAGACTATGTAGGCCAAATTTCAAATGGATTTAAAAATAATAATAAACATCAGGATAATCTAATATTCTCATAAATTATTTTAGAAGTATAATAATCATGTCATACTTCATGGCCAGGTTAATGTTTGATAGATTTTTTTTCTGTTTGTCAAAGTGTCAAGACATATTTCCAAAAGAAAAAAATACTGTGCAGCGTTAAACAGATTATAAGACTATGACTGCAGCAAAACACACATACATACAACCAGGAGACTCTGTGAAGTGTACATGTTAAGCTTAAAGTGTACAGCTGTAAGGTACAGTGTTCTGAGTAAGTTTTTTGTATTTATATGTCTGAATAGAGAACTCCAATGAACAGAAACAGCTCCTGATGGAGTTCAAGGCTTAGCATAAGAAAAAAGAAAGAGGGGGAAATGAACTCTATCAGCTCTGAAATAACACACTAGGGAGAAGTACTGGCTTGCATGAAAATTTTGGTGAGTTACCATGTAATAAAATTCACAAGACACTGACCACAATGAAAACGTCCAGAGGAACTGGGTGCCGGTGGTTCATGCCATCCTAGCTACTTAGGAGGCAGAGATCAGGAGGATCGTGGTTTGAAGCCAGCCTAGGCAAATAGTTCTGTGAGACCCTATCTTGAAAAAAGCCTATTACAAAAAAGGACTGGTGGAGTGACTCAAGGTGTAGGTCCTGAGTTCAAACCCCAGTGTCACAATCATACAAACAAACAAACAAAACTTCCAGTGGAATCATGTTGGATCTTGCTTCATTTCATTTAAATACTGTCATAAGCACAATCAAGGTTTCTGTGAAGTGTTGCCTTCTCATTTAAAATAGATAGTGAAAAGATACTACTGATCAAACTAAATCCTTAAGGTGTCTTCAGGAAAAAAGAGAGAAGCAAAATCCTAATGCATTAACTAATCAGTATTATCACACAAAATAGGTAAGACATTTTTGATACTTTAAAACATGCACTGAGTGCTCCACAGAGGAATGGCATCAGAAGACAATTCTTTTTTTTTTTTTTAATATTTTACAGCAACTCAGAGTTTAGCAGATTTATTTGCTTAAAGAACTTTTTCATATATACCAATTCTTCATTCTGACTTGCCAAAATACCATGACTAAATGCAAGTTGACTAACACAGACCACAAATTTGTCGGAATACACGGAGTTCTGTACAAAATGAAGAAAATCAAGTTACTGGAGGCATCAGAAATGCTCTCAGGTTTTTTGTTCATTTAATATTATGGCAGTATGAAGTAATATACAAGGTACATGTCTTTTCTCCCTCTTTCCAGGGTTTCCATTAAGAGGGCAGGATGAGCACAACACCCTAGGGAAAGCCAAGGAAGCTGCATATTGGTCCACCTGAGTTCTGGACTATTATACCACATGGAACCCCAGGCAGGGCCTTTTCAGCTTTCCTTCTGTGTCAGTTTGCTGTTTTCTGTTTAGAACACATATTTATTTTCAACAATGTTTTCTAGTAAATGTGCAGACTTATAGAGAAAAAGGAAGAATGTGAGATAAAAATCTAAAAATGTAACCTATCGACATTTTTCTTACTTACTTTACTTATTATCTCCCTGGTCAGTTGGTGTTAGAGAGGTCTCCTACACTAGAGGGCAACCTTCCAAGCTGAATCAGACCACGAGAACAAGTAGCTTCTCATAGGAATTCTACTGAGGGAATGGTTTATGACACACCGCATCACAGGTCGAGTAACCTGTTACTTCAGCTTCTCACAGCAAAGCCATGGGAAGGATGAATGTATCATGCCACAGGACTCTGCTCCCCACCCCAATGAAGGGAACAAAAAGTGGTAATGCCTTCTGGATCTCTGGATCTTCCCTTCTATCCATCTATTCATCCATCCACCTCCAGCCTCCACCTAGCCCTGGGCAATGTCTGGAGTGATGGGTAGTGGATTCTAACAGTGTCTATTCTGGGTGTGTAGGTGAGATTCTCTCTTTCTTTCTTAATATTTGCTGTATTGCTTCAATATTTTTATAATACACATATATCATGTTTGTGACAGAAATAAAAATTAATTTTATAAAAGAGAAAACTTCCCTTTTAGATCAATTTTTCTAAAGATGTATACAATGAATCAGGTCTATGTAAAGCCTTTTACAAACATGGCACATGAGGGCACTGTCTGAGATAATACCATATCTCAGTTTAGTGCACTTGAAAGCCAAGCACAAAGGTGTCAATTATGCAGACACATAATTTAAACACAGTTAACACCTTAGACCACTTGACTAGGTTAAATTGTACCAAAAAGCCTGAAGAATATGTTGCAGTAATGGTTCTCTCCTGACTCTCTGGACTACTGTCCTCTCCTTGGTAGTCACTCTCCCTGTTCTAATTCATCTGTCTTAGTTTCACTCCTCCTGCTCCAAAGTCTATCATTGCTCTCCAGTGCCCAACACAGATGTGCAAACATTCAAATTGGGGCCTAACCTATTGTTCTGGTCTTACTCTTAACTAGTCTTCATCATGTAGAAAGACCTCATTTTTGACTGGGGCCTGGGTATGTTTAAACTTTGACCCCATATGAATATTGTATCTGGCCTATGGATTACAGATGGCCTTTGAAAAGCCAGAAGAACAAAATGATCAAAGCAATTAATAGTTATTCATTAGTTCATAAAACATATTATTGAGATACAGTAGTAGTAGTGTTTCCTATTTTAAAGAAGGTGAAACTAAACCTCAAAATTCATTATTTGTGCTCTCCCCTAAAAAAACCAGAAAATTAAAATACAGTATGTTCTTTAGTGGATCAGAATTAGGATTCAAAATTATCAGTTCCATCAAAAAATTCCTCTATTTTATATTTCTATTTATTCCTCTGAAATATAAGAATGGCAGATATTTAATGTTATTTATTAACAGAAAGCTTCTTCTGTTCTTCTTAACTCTGCTTCTGTTACAAGCGAGTTGTTATTATTTTAATGTTTAAATATTTAGGCAATGACAGTCCCTGTCAGAAACGTTAGCCAGGTTTTATTGTACAAGGTTAACTGACTTATTTTACTAAGAGAAGTGAACAAAGTGGAAGGTCCCATCAAGAGAGTAACGTATTTGAACAACATCTAACAGTTAACAAAGTGCAGGTAATTATGACAATTCCATAAGCAAACTTGCATCCAGTTAACTTTTAAAGTCCCTATTTTCTCTCAAATATATACTGACATCTTCCAAGAAAGTTAAGCTAAATTTTCTTTCCAACTCACATTTACTTAGAGAATTGCCATTAGCTTCTGACTTTATTACTGTTGCCTAATTGTAGAGGTTTAATGTCATTTTTCTCAGTGAACATCCTGACTTGGAGATGTGAGGAGTGGGAACTGGGTTTGTCACACATTAGGAAAAGCTCTGGTGGCTCTGGGCTAGGATTGTGCTCTCTCATTACATATTTGTGCTGTGTCCCAGGGCCTTGTGCACTGACACTGAGGAAGTGATTCACAGCTGCAACTGCGTGTGGAGTCATTCTGGAACTCAATAAAAGTACTAAGATGCAACAGGAAAGTAAGGTATAATATGGCTCAGTTCCTGTTCTCAGATAAGAAGCAAATCCAGGGTATGCTGTGGGGAAAAAATAAAAATTTCTTCAAAATACTCAATGACACAAGGGCAATAAAGCAAATAGGAATTTTCACTCCTTAGTTTTCATCCCTTCTCTAAGGCAAATTGTGCAAAATATGTGATGATCCAAGAAATCAGTTTCTTACCAGTGTTCTGTGAGCTCCCAATGCAGCTAAGGTGTATCCCTCTCTTGAGGAATAGGCTGTGATTTGAAAACTATAACCTGTAAAATCAAAGGGACATCATTAAGTTATAAGCTTGTTTGCCACTGAATCCCAGGGTCCCAGCCCAGTGTCGATCACTTGAGGTGAGCATTACTATTCTGGCTCTTCCAGGAGGTCTGGCCAAAAGTCCCTAGTCCCTGAAATGGCACAGTTACTTTACCTGTAAAATGGAATAAGTGAAGATATAATATGCCTGAAAATTAGGGTTTTGGGACAGGATGACTAATTTAGGCTGAACTAATACACAGATCTTGAACAGTTTTGAATATTCACTATTTATTAGATTATAAAAAGAATAGTTTAATATTTATTTGAAAATGTGTATAGTATGTAAGTAAGTTAATCCCTGAGTCAAGAACAACCAAGTCTTCATAAAAAATGATATGAAAAAGATACATGGTATGAGTAAAAAAAAAAATTCCCAACTCACCAGATGATCTAAATGAAAAAAGAGAGCATTAACTGTTGTCAAGTGTGTGGGACAACTGAAATGTCCATATGTTGGGAGGAGTACAAATTTGAATAGTCATTTTGAAAAAATACTCAAGTATCAAAAGCTGACCTTAAGCACGGACATATAGCATCCATAGTGGCATTCTTTACAAACCATTGCAAAGATTCATCAGAATTTTTAAAAAGTGGTGACACAATCACACAGTGAAAGACTGTGCTGTCCCTGAAAATGAGTAAGCTATAACTACAGGCAATAAGCAATAACTCTCACAAACATGACATTAAGTTAAAAGACATCTGTCTGAAGGAGTAAACAGCACCTATGAAAACAGAGCCATGGCCATTGATCTTATAAGGCAGTAACAGAACTTCGGATAATTCACAGAGATTCTAATTGTTTTATCTTTCCCTTTTTCCCTTTCCTCCACCTTCCCTCCAGGTATAAACTGGTCTGTTGTTGACTTTCCTGAAAAGGTCAAGTGAAAGTATTCCCAGTTAATATAGTCAAGTGTCTGGTGGAAGAAGCAGAAATAAAAAAGGCTCACTGGAAATATAGTACCGAATTGCTGAGACAACCTCAGGAATTTGCTAAACCTCCAAGAGAGTATCTTACCCATGAAACTGGAAGGGCTGAAATTTGCAAGAAGTGGTCTCCCAGGACCATTACATCAAGTCCTCCTCCCACCCCACCTACAGTTCATGACAATGTTTGTTCTAAAGTAACTTACATAGAACACAATTAAGGAGGTTTTCACTGTTACATTCAGTGTCCTTCCAACACCCCTGTAGAAAGATCTGGCATATCAGTAAGCATGGACTTGATGCTTTGTCAAAATAAGCTATAGCTTTGACAACACAAATGCTTTAGTCACATCAATTATGAAATAACACTGACATATAGGAAAGGATACTCTCCAGCTTTACTGATATGAAATACATTTTTTCCAACACACTCAAAAAGGGATTGCATTTCAGTCATGTGACTTTCTTCTAATAAAATGTTAAACAAAATATGCACACTGTTGGCATTACTCTGAGTGCTTTAAAATAAATATGTCATTCTTCAGGTCTCTGAGAGAATGGAAGTAATTTCTACATCTATTTATTTGTCTTACTGCTGGAGAAGGAGGGACTGCAAGAGAGGAGTCCTTAGCAGTGTGAAACTTACAAACGGAATTTAAAAGTGATTTTTCAATTAATTATGAATCTTCCCAAGTACTAAACAAGAAAAATGTGCAATTTCTATCTCATTCTTCTTTTGCTGATAAATAGCACTAGATGATTAAGATTCAGACGGTATGTTCAAAATTTCAAACTCTTCTTCCTGTACAAAATCTCCAGCAACAAAATGTTACTCTCAGGAGGAAGCTAAATGTGAAGCTGACTGTGAATGCTATAGCTCTATGTTCAGGAAGCCTGGCATCTGGAGATACCACTTGATGATTACTCCATTATTATTTGGGCTGTTAAACAATACAGTTCTAATATGATATCTTCTCCTAAAAAAAAGAAAGTAGTACAATGCAGATTATAAGTGGTTTGTTATAAAAGTACCAGGAAAACTGAGTTTACTGAAACCTGGTCCTTACCCTCAGACCCTACAAGAGAGGACTGTGCTAAAAGGAAATCTTTTTTTTTTCTTTTATTATTCATATGTGCATACAAGGCTTGGGTCATTTCTTCCCCCTGCCCCCACCCCCTTCCTTACCACCCACTCCGCCCCCTCCCTCTCCCTCCGACCCCCTCAATACCCAGCAGAAACTATTTTACCCTTATTTCTAATTTTGTTGTAGAGAGAGTATAAGCAATAATAGGAAGGAACAAGGGTTTTTCCTGGTTGAGATAAGGATAGCTATACAGGGCATTGACTCACATTGATTTCCTGTGCGTGTGTGTTACCGTCTATGTTAATTCTTTTTGATCTAACCTGCTAAAAGGAAATCTTAAACTGGCATCTTGTTATTAGTGGTTTCAATGGAAAGCTCAGCTTAATGGTACATATAATTTATTTATTTATTTATTCTTTTATTCACATGTGTATACATTGTTTGGGTCATTTCTTCCCCCTGTCCCCTCCCCCTCCTCCCCTTCCCTTCCCCCCTCAGTTCCAGGCAGGTCCTGTTCTGCCTTTATCACTAGTTTTGTTGAAGAAAAGAGACAAGCCTAATAAGGAAGACAAAGTGTTTTTGTTAGTTGAGTTGAGGATACTATACAGAAATATTCCTAGCATTGCTTTCGTGTACACGTTATGACCCATGTTGATTCATCTCCAACTGATCTTTACCCTGGTTACTGATCCCCTTCTCGTGATAACCTCTGTTGCTTTAAAGTTTCTGTATTAGTTCCTCTGGAGTGGGGACATCAAAAGCTTTCATGTTTTGGGTTTTCTACCTATTTCTATATCACCCAAATGTGCTCTCCCCTTACCATGTGATCCAAGTCCAACCACATTGCTGCATTTGCCCTAGATCTAAAGTCTGCGTGTGAGGGAGAACATACGATTTTTGTTCTTCTGAGCCTGGCTGACCTCACTCAGAATGATGTTCTCCAGTTCCATCCATTTACCTGCAAATGATAAGATTTCATTCTTCTTCATGGCTGAGTAAAATTCCATTGTGTACAAATACCACATTTTCTTGATCCATTCATCAATAGTGGGGCATCTTGGTTGTCTCCATAACTTGGCTATTATGAATAGTGCTGCAATAAACATGGGTATGCAGATGCCTATGGAGTAACCTGTGTTGCATTCCTTTGGTTATATCCCCAGGAGTGGGATTGCTGGATCACATAGCAGGTCTATGTTTAGATTTTTAAGGAGTCTCCAAATTTTTTTCCAGAGTGGTTGTACTAGTTTACATTCCCACCAGCAGTGTATGAGGGTTCCTTTTTCCCCATATCCTCACCAACACCTGTTGTTGGTGGTGTTCTTGATGATGGCTATTCTAACAGGTGTGAGGTGGAATCTTAGTGTGGTACCTATAATTTAAATGGCAAATTTAACATGTAAAAAAGATTTTCACCTTTTAGTCCAAATTCCACTGCTTATATGAAAGTTCATTGTTTCAAAGAGAAAACTTGAAGAGAGATTAAACACAAAAGGTCTTTGTGTCAGTTTTTATGACAAACTAAATTTGACATATGAACAGAAAAAAATTACAGCTGTTAAAACAAACTGAACTGAACTGCTTTAGAAGATGTATTTCATTTATTCATAGGTAACAGGCAGTTATAAAGACTATCTTCTTATCTTTGCTCTTAATGAAATTGACTTTACAGAGTTCAACAGGCTACTGAGGTTTTACACTTAACTAGGACAAACACAAAGCTCTACTATTCTCTAAAGCTGAACAGCAATTTGGCGAAGAATCTAGAATGCCCTTTGCCTTCCCTACTTGAGCACCAGCTTTCTGCTACACTTATGTTCTAAGTGGAGAAAACCTGAGTCAGGAGGAAATTAGGGAAATAAACAATTGGAAATCATAAAGTGATAATCCTCTTATCTGAAAACTATTGAAGTATGTCAGTTTTCTTGCTGGCTTTGGGTCCTCCTCAATCTTGGAGGACCATCTTTAGACACAGGAAGAGATGACTTAACGGGAGGATGAGACAGGTACTGGTGGCTCATGCCTATAATCCTAGCTACTCAGGAGGCAGAGATCAGGAGTATCATGGTTTGAAGCCAGCCCTGGGCAAATAGTCTGCCAGACCCTATCTCAAAAACACCTATCACAAAAAAAGGGTTGGTGGAGTAGCTCAAGAAGTAAGAGTACCTGCCTAGCAAGGTGAGGCCGAGTTCAAACCCCAATGCTGCCAAAAAATAGGAAGATGACTTTGAAATGGAAACATCTTTCCACCAGCAGTCTTCTGGCATGTGCATTTCTAGAAAATACTTATACTTCTGAATTGCTTAAAGTCACATGATCATCCATTGCTAGGAAGTCCATCTTCTCTCCTGGCCTCTAAGTAGTCCCAGAGTCTCTGGTTCTTATCTGTACTTAGTAAACAGCCTTTGCACTTCTCTCCATCTTCCGACAGCCTCCAACCTCCCACTGAAACATAAAATGATGACCTGTTACCACATTAACTTTCTTCTGGCTCCCCTAGTTACTCACCAAAGAATATTAATTTTAAGAAAAAACAAGGGGTGTGGGGGAGCTCTTTAATGTTTATGAAAGAAAAGGCAAACCAAAGCCTACTACTATGTTCTATCATACTGTCTAAAATAAATTGCTTTGCAATGGCTTTATTAGAAATTTGGAGACTTCATGAACGGAAAGAGAAAAGTTATAACCCAAACAAATCAAATATGAATTGAACAGATTCTACCTGGATTAGAAGGTATGTAGATTAGTTTTAAATGGTACCATGCTCTAATGAGTAATGCTCATTTTAAGGGAGGAGTCATTTATTTTGGGTTGTTATGGTTCATAGTCCCAAGGCACTGAGAACATATATCCAACATGGAGGGTTTACTCTAAAATTATCCAGCTTCACTTGTTTTTCAGTGCACTCATAGCCAAAGTGACTTGAGCTTCTCCACAGC